CCTTCTTTTTAAATGATATCTGACTGGCAATAATAAAGACTGGCAAGAACGTTATGTCGCTTTTTTTCTATGTAATTGAAAAACAATTTTTTCATATAAAGCAAAAGTTTCATTCCGTATTATATTGTCCGTTTAATGCAATGACCTTTTGTCATCTGTTGTTCGGTAGCTTCATAATTCCGGCCTCGTAAAAGGTCTTCCGGTCCTTATCGGAGAAAACCGATCCAAGTACCGCTTAATAGCCTCATCAGAATCGAATTTTTTTCCCTTCAAGGAATTATACAAGGAACGAAATAAATGGTAATCTGATGGTGCAGGATTAGGTGAGTATGGTCGATGTGGTGACACATCCCGCCCAAGCTGCAACAATTTCTGGCGGGCAACCAACGATGTATGTAGTCTAGCGTTGTCTTTTGTAAAGACATTACAATTCTGTAAAGACAACACCTTTACTCATCAGTTCTAGGCGCTTCTGCTTAATTGCTTCGTGTCATTTGTTCAATTGACGACAATACAATTCCGAATCAATCATTTGATTACGTGTTCAAGTAGTTCAAGAACACAATACCCTTGTAATCAAACAGATAACAAAATCTTCCTTTGGTGAATGTCTGCTTTAGAAGGGCTTTGTGGCGGTTTATCACGTGTACTCCGCGATCTTTTTCGTTCTACACTGTCGTAAACAATCCATTTCTCATCGCCACTTAATATTTGTTTAAAAACGGATCGTTTTGCTGACTTTTCAAGAGAAAATCGCTGATTTGATGTATTGCTGAGATGAATTTTTTTAAGCTCATGTGGAACCTAAATATCGAGTTTCTTGACGTATTCAAGTTGTTTTAAATGGTTTTCGATGTTTGTATGTGATATGTTTAGCTTCTCAGCGATCTCCCGCCATACGTGTCATATAATGGCGGTTGGATTCAAGCGACGCTTTTATTTTATTTTATTTTATTGTCGCCGATCTCAGTTGGCCGGTCTGACCGTAGTGCATCTTTCACAGGAAAATCTCCTGAATGAAAACGAACAAATCAACGCTTGACGTTCTCCCGTTAAGGATTCCTCACCATGCACATAACTTTTGACGGGTTTGCACAGCGTTCTTTCCTTTTTGGAAGTAAAACAGTAAAATATGGCGGAAATGCTCGATTTAATTTTCCACTTTTTTCACTCAATGCCAAACAAACAATTCTTTACTGAATGACGCACTTTTTTTTTTAAAGAAAGCTTGAAATGTCAGCCGTCAAATGATATAAGGATTACAGGATTTGGAATTTGAAGTTGGTTGCGTTTAATGACAAGTAAAGCCATCTACCCGTGAAAAGCGACATGACTTTTTTGCCAACGTGATAAGAAAGGTGCAATTCATAAAACCAATCATACAAGGTATGAAGAGGCTGTGTACGGAGCTATGTAGTATGATCAAATCGGATGGAGCACATTGATATTTGAATTGTTATAAAGTCAAAAAATTTACTTTTATGAATAAAGTAAAATTCATTTTTAGATGCACTTCCATTATTCAAGAGCATTTTTCTTCGTAATTCTGTGCAACGGATATGACATAACTTTGAAGAAAAAAGCTTTTGTCGGAAAGGTTTTCAAGCGTAACATTTCCTTATCCCCTTAAGAAGGTCAAAGTACGAGTGAATTTGCTACAATAACTAAGATACGTAATATCTACTGATGGACGTGTGCAACTAGCGGACTAACGATTGCTTGCGCTCGTTATCCCTCTGCTGTACGAGGAAATCTGTTTTATGATTTAAGGAAAGAAAAAGAAATGTACAGGGCGATTAGGCCGCTTTGCCGACTACGCCATCCACAGTTACACCTCGATATGTATATCTCTCCCTTTCTTATTAATGATCTTAATTATTAAAGATGTTTATTCGTACACAGCTTAATCTTCCATCGTGATTTGCTGATTTAACTTGCAAGAAAGCTGTGAACGAAATGAGAGAAAATATTATCGGACATGGTAGACTGGGCCGAGAGAATCGAACTCGGGACCTTTCACTTGCCGGACGACTACTCTACCAACTAACCGTCCAAATACCGCATTTCGATACATCTGCCTCCCCCCTCTCTCTCTCTGTTTTAAACATGGTCTTTATGTCGAAATGGTGTTCTTATAGCAAAACATAATTTGTGATATTCAGTAAAATATATTTGTTAGTTTACTGATTTGTTGGATTACTGATGTGTTGAATTACTTATCTTGTTGTATCAAAGGCAGTTTGGTACAACGAATTTTCAATACCAACTAACAATTAGTTGCTTCAGCGGTAGAAGCCAACTGAGGTATCAATGTTCGTAACGTTTTCTCAATGAGGGACGCCTTCTGTTATCTGGGGACTGACAGACGAAAAGTCGATCGTGGCAGCAGAAGAGGCCAGTTCCGTTAAGCTGAACCACAGCACTGTTCTGATACCTCGGTTCATTTCTCTTCCACGCTATATGAGTTTTATATTTGCTTCGCTTTAAAGGCAGCCCAATTCAGCTGGAAAGAGAGCAACTAAAGATTCCTGTAGGAGATTTCCATTCGGTCAACATTCTCAGTTATCTCACGGTCAAGTTCCAACGTATCTGAACATTGGGACGAATGTTTCCAATCGCGATAACAGAGATACCGTTGGTCTTTACGGGCTTCTCATTCGGTTCCCATTCCGTTGTACGAACCAAGATCCTTATCCCATGCAGCACGGCAGAATTCAGCAAGATAGATCTTTCTCCCACGCTTCGCTTCGCGAAGAATTCGAGATAATGCTACACTCTATTTCACGATCACATGTATGTGCTGCTATCTCGCTCCGCGGCACAGGTTGTCTCTGACCGAGACAAGGTCGTAACGTAAGAATAATGAATTAGCGAAAGCTAATCTCGAGATCGATCGACGCGATTGTAACGAGCACCTGTGATACGCGCAGACGGAGGACAAGCCGACAGGGGAAGCGCGAGTCGAAGCGAGAACAAACACCGAGAGCCCGTGTTCTCGGTCGTATTATGCGTATAAGGTGCCTAATCAGACGAAGAACACTTTCCTCGATGATTGATGAGAGTTACGCGATCATCTGCGGCCTTCTCCGAAGATATATATGTCGCAATTTTTCGCACTTGCAGTTGTTCGACAGCGGACGGACATGTTGCAAGCATCGGCTTTTAATCGCGGACTCTCGATCATTCTGTTTCTGCTTTTACCTTTTTTCCGCCGTTTCGCGTCGGCAAAGTGCGCAAGAAGATGCAACGTGTTGCACATGCACGGCAGCACTGCGAGCTCTCGGTAGCAGCGAATTCGAAAGTATATTCAAAATGGGGTCGTCGCGAAGAAAAGAGAGGAATAAGGTTACGTACGTGTAACATACAGGCAACAATATTAATAATATATAAGACAAGTAACATATCGTGATATACAGGACTGGAACATCCTTTCATGAGGATCACCGATCATCAATCCTTTGTTTCACTCCGAAATCACCCGAGTTCTAAAAAGTCAAATATATTAGGAGTATGCAGAAGTTTCCATCGTTCACACATAGATGGCATTGTGAATTATTTACATGAAAGTTGAGATGCATTTTTGTTAAATTATGTCAGTATTGGTCAAGCTGCGTAGAAACAGATGCAATGTAATAAGTCATATTCATTGATATAAACATTTTTAAATAGCGTGAAGATGGAAGTTGATAAGACGCATATTCATTATTGTATACTTTCTTTATTTCATCAGCGCAAAAGAACTGCCGGAGCAACCAGAATCATTTGCGAAACTTACGGTGAGGGAGCGATAGCTGAAAATTCATGTAGTGCGTGGTTTCGGTGCTTCAAAGTGGCGATTTTGACTCGAAAGACAAGGAACGTGCCAAGTGACCGCAAGAGATGAATTCGAATGACTTGGAAGTGTTGTTGCAAGAAGATTCGACTCAATTGAATGTAGAACTTGCGAAAGGGTTACATGTTAATCAGAGCACTGTAATTCGACGCTTGCATGAGACGGAGAACATTCTGAAAGAGGGAAAATGGTTCCCCATAAATTATCCGAGAACGCTTTTGCCAGCCGTGTCACCATTTGCCTTTCGCTGCTCAACACACACACACAAACATAAGTCTCTTTTGTATCGAATTATGACCGGAGACGAAAAATGGATTTATTACAAGTCCAATCGCAAAAAATCGTGGGTAAATCCCGGAGAATCTTCTACGTCACAGCCAAAACGAAATATCCAAGGTCACAAGATCCTCCTGCGTATAGTGGGTCGTACAAGATGTGCTGTATTATGAGCTATTAAAACCAACTCAGATTATCACCGCGAAATTATACAGTCGACAATTAAGGCAATTGATCGAGAAACAGCCATATTTCGCGATAAAGCAAAACAAAGTGATTCTTCTGCACGACAATGCCAAGCCCCATGCTGCATTGGCGACCCGAGAAACTTTAATGGCTCGCAATGGGAAGTCCTACCACAGCCAGCATATTCTCCAGATATTGGCCCCATCGAATTTTCACTTATTTCTATAAAGCACAGTCTTTCTAGTGCACGATTTTGCAATGTTGAGAGTGTGCAACAATTCGTCGATAACTTCAATCATTCTAAGAGCAAAGACTTCTTTCATCGTGGTGTCCATTTTTAGTCTGAAAGATGGCAAAAAGTAGTAGATAATGCCGGACAATATTTTCATTAAAGATACTATGTGTTATCTGTAATGATATTAATAAAAAAAAAACGATGGAAACTTTTGCATGCCCCTGATACATTGTTCCCGCGGACAATCGCGACGAAGCGACTCGACCGGGTTGTCAACAACAACAACGCGCGCCGCGCCGCCGCGTCGCCGGCTGCAACAACGACGGCGACCAAGATCGCCACGAGGAAGGACCGAATGAAATCCCGGAAGAGAGAGAAGAAGCACGAAGGAACGGAGCGGCGGGTGAAGACCCACGAGGTGCGATGGAGAGGGGCGCCAACGCGGTTTCCTTCGAACACGGGAGTCACGTTGAAGAGCGGGCACTCGTGCAGTCGTGCTCCACGACGCTCGATCCGCACACTGTTTTACCTGTACGCGGCTATCGGTCGGCAGGTAGCAGCCGCGAGCTACCGTGAATCCGTCTCGCCGATTACGAGCCAACCTGTCCGTGTCGGACGCGACGCGTCGCGTCGCGTCGCGGACGTTCCCCGCGTACACACGTCGCCCGTTTTTTATTTCTCGCTCCGAGACTCGTGACTTACCAGACGACTTTATCTTCCCGTCGGAGGCCTCGTCACCGGAACACGTGAGTAACGCCGACCGCACTCCGGGAAGTGACAGCGACGGCATTCCTTCGCCGAGATTTACATCGCTTTGTAACCGGAAATTCGCGCAGTCAGTGATGATACCCCCCGCGAGCGCTCTCGGCGATAACTCTCGCTAACACGCACGGAAAAGGAAAGAAGAATTCCGTTAGTGTAACTGAATTTTCCGTTGCCCGGGAAACGAATGACGGCCGAACGGAAAACTCGCTCGTAGCTACGGAAAGGTCTTTTTCGCGCGCGAGCTTTTCCGTCGGTTCGTTGTTTCCGCTGATCTCTCTCTCTCTCTCTCTCTCTCTCTCTCTCGACCGGATTTCGCTTTAGCAGCTTTGAATAAATAAATGTGGAGGCGAGCGAGAAAACTCGGCGGGCGCTGGGTTGTTTGAGCAAAATTTCATGCGTAAAAGGAGAACTTGCTTTTGCCTGAAATTCGAACGTTGCAGTCCTGTTCTCCGGATTCTTCTCAGTGAAAAGTAATAAACAATAATAAATTTTGTGTATTAAATTTCGCTCAAACGACAGAGCTGGCTCTTGCCTGCGCATTTATTTACTTGATTGCGTGTATCTATTTATTTTATTTATTTTAACACGACTGATTAGAGACAAGCTGTTTCGGTCGCGAAAAGCGGAGTTTCGGTTGTACAAACTAAGATCTTTTTTTATCGCGCGGTAAACAATAATACGCCATTAATCATCGTATTATATATAGTCAAAACTCGCGTATTTTTATTGCAAAAGCGACCGCCACATTGGGTGAACATACCTCGCCTGGAGAAATCTAAAACTTGAAGGGAAACGAGGAAAGATCTCTCGAAAAATCCTAATTTCGAAATTCAAACAGCAATCCGAGACTCGAGACAGCGTCTGACTCTATCGAATATATATTATAAGTTTATAATCTTTTTGAGAGATGTTATTACACGTGGATGGTGTCACATGGATGAAGATCTGAGGACGAAGGCAACTCGTCGTCGTAAGGAACCGACGATAATTTTGAAAGTCACTCGGCGCTCGGTCTGTCAACAAACGCCGTTGTCGTCATAACACAACGTTAAAAAGCGCGTATACAAATATAACAATCCAAAGGCGTTTGAATTTACACGGGGGAAAGCGGGGATAACGAGCGAGATCGAAACCAAATGCTATTGCACATTGCTCCTTCGCGATAAATAAACAACAAGTAACATATATTTAAGCGCAAATAATAACTGATTATCAAATTAAGCAATTAAACTACTCAGTTAATTACCTCGCAACAGCATACACATCATCTATTTTAAATAATGCTGATTATCTCGCGTGATTCACGTGCGCCGTGTGCTGCTGAATTATGCATGCAATTATGCGCTTTATTTTGCATTGCTACTTTATATCGCGTTAAAAGACTTAGCATAACGCTTTGACGCGCATAATACACTCCAAATCGTATAAATTTTCGGGGTCTTTTTGCGGTCCGTTTCGCGTCCTCTATTCCTGCAGGATAATAACTTTCTTATTTCAAATTTACACTTCCCACGCATTCATGTAATTGAATTTTTATGTTAAATCTATACGCCTTTTATCTGTCCCAAAATTTTATATCTCAAAATATTCTATTATATAATATTTCTCCGTCAAGAAACCAATAAAGAATTAAAACCAAGTTTGACCGAGTAACACCCGAGGACTGAAAAAAATTCCATTGAATAATAATTTTCTACCAAAAAAAGAAAAAAAAACAAAAATGCCTGAGAGATCCAACGGCTCGCTAAAGCCGTTTTCACGGAGATATGGGAGATATTGAATATTCGCATAATAAGATGCAGATGTATCCAAATAAATATATCTCTTTCGTCGCGTTTGGCAGATATCGATTCATGTCGATGAATGACGATACATGTCGCACAGCAATCGCGAGTATCCTTTTAAAAGCAAGGTGCACCCGCCGACAGCGTCGCGCGCCGTAAACGTGCACGTGCAAAAGGAAGGTCACGGACACCTTTTTGGAGCGGTCACTCGGCGGCGCGCGAGCGCCCGCGCTCTGAAAGGGCATCGTACCGCTTGAAAACTTTCTCGGCAAGTTGCCGTATTTAGCATCGCGCCGATGTCCACGTGTATCCTATCTGGAGATGGCAATAATTGATGGCGATCAGTTATACGCCGATGAACGCATGAACGCCTGAATTACTGGAGAGAGAGAGAGAAAGAGAAAGACAGAGAGAGCGGAAGAGAGAAGGAAAAGGAACGAGAAATAATCAAAGTTTGCTTCAAAAAAATCTTTAAACAAAGGAAATGCGACATCGAAAGAGATTAATTTTTTCAATGATACTGATACGTATAATTGTACGTGTAAAGTCTGCGACACATTTTTTGGCACTTCTTCCTTTGACACTTTTGTTTCTAAATTACTTTGCTATATTTTATATTTAAAATTGTGGCAACTCTCAAACTCTTTCACGGCGCAAGCTCGTGCATGGAGATTTCTAATCTCTTTTATTTGTTAATTTAATTTGTTAACCTCACGTGTTTATAAATTCGTAGAGAAAAAAATGTAAACTTTATGCAAATGACGTCCAGATACATTTAAATACGTTTAGTGACTTTTTCTTTTTTAATTCGAATATTGTCGGCGAATATTTTTGTGGATGTTTATCATAAAATTACATGAAAAAAAAGAAATTGAGAAATCTCGTCAATTGGTTGACAAATTTATATTTTACTTTAAAAACTATATTTTATCATTAATACTTTACTATAAATATAATATTAATAATAGTGATACATATAAAATCAAATGATTGTTTCTTAAATTAAATTAATGCAAGAAAAAAAGAAATTTTATTAATTGATTAATAGACATTATATTTAAAATTTATTTTAAAATACGCCTAAAATTTGATTCTTTACTATATACGGAGTTTCCGGGATCTTTTGAAAACAAAAAATTGTGAAGATTAATCAGATCAAACTGAGAAGAAAAGTCAAGCCATTTTGCAAAAATCGCAATGGTTATTAAGTTATTAATGATCGAAAATGTAGAAGCTTTTTTAATCGATAACTTGAAAATTTGCGTACTTATTCGCAAAATAGTAAAGGACTTTTTGTTCAGAATAATCTAATCTACAATTATATGACGGCTATTGTGCCCAGTGACAAGTTTAAGATTTAGGATTCAAAATTGAATATACTCATATCTATCTTTAGACATAATGGCTGTTATATAATTATAGATTAGGTTATTCTGAACAAAAAAGTTTGCAAATAAGTATGCGAATTTTCAATTTATCAATTAAAAGGACTTCTGATCTGAAGATGTGATCATTTTTAATTATTCATCAATAACTTAATAACTATATTGCAATTTTTGCAAAATGGTACTTGACTTTTCTTTTCAGTTTGATCTGATCAATCTTCACAATATTTCGTCTCCAAAAGATCCCGGACATCCTGTATATCTTGCTATATATAATTAATTCTTCATTCTTTGAATTTAATAGTAAACATAATAAACAATCAAATTAAAGTTATAAGTTATAAGTCGGGATCTAGAATCGTGCTTGATGTGGAACAGTCGGCTACCCGATTGGTGCGTTGCATGCGTTGCAAAGTCATATCGGTGCGTACGTGTTACCCAACTGAAACAATTGTTATCTGCCGGTTGAAACAATCACGCTAAAAATCGTGCTCTTGCTCGATCGAAGCTTTCCTTTCGTTCGAATTTGCGAAAGAGAAAATCTTCCCTCGTCATTCCCTCGTGGATTGATTCATTCTCGCGCGCGAGTCAATCCACTCGATTCGCTTCGTTCGATCGTCAATTAATCTATTGTGCGAGCATCAAACGGACGTCTTCCGACTTGCACGACGATCCAAGATTCTTATTCGCTCGTTCGCATGTCGTTACCGCACGATCTGCGACACATGCACGTTTCAATCGCATTCAATTTTCGAACGACACCGACGAAGACACTCCTCGCCAGCACCTCGAGCCGGCACCTTTAATCGCGCGCGCGCGAGCTGAAGAGATCGGTCGCGATTGGAGAAGCGTGCAACATTCTGCGACCGCTTTCACGGTTGTTGTCGCATATCTGCGAGATAGCATACGCGATCAAGATTACAGGGGGATGCGTGGGCTACATAATTAAATGAACCGAGCGAGAGGCGCGCTTTGCCGAACACATCCGCGCCGTGGCGCCGGTAACACGGCTAATCAAATATCTGTTACATGCGAGTTATGTGAGCAACTTTCGAGGAAGCAATATCCTCGGCGCGTCTGGTTCGCAAACCGAGTGAGTGCGTGTGCACGCTCATAGAATCCGCACATAATTATTGCCTTTCCCGTTCCGATGGCACGCGTACGGATAATTCAATATTCGAGAAAGCAATCGGCTTTTCTCGTTTATTCGATTACAATAATTTCGCGGTCACCGTGGAGGGGAAAAAAAAAAAAGTAAGAAGACGAGGAGGAAGAGGAAGAATCGAGATGAGACGGGAGAGAGAATGTTGTACGAGTGCAGCACGTAGACGTTGATCAATTAACTCGTTCAAAGTTCTCATGACGAGGATTAATCGGGTTGATCGAGTTCGATGGCGAACGAATGCTCGGCGAGAGAGCCTTTCGTTGTCTTCTTCGCGCTCCCACGCGGCTGCGGCGACTCCGTGTCTGAATTTAATGACACGGCGAGGGAGAGAGAGAGGAGCTCGTTTGATCCGCGCGCGGACGCGTTATAGGAAGGAAGTCTATGAAACGTATTCATTACAGTTGCCGGAGGAAATGATTGCGTCAGAGAAAGTACGAAAAGAAACGCGATTCGATCGTATGCAGACAACTGTGACTTCGTCAGGAGGTCACGTGAGCGAACGAGCTGATTGCTCTCCTGGCTCTTGCTTGCCGTGCTCTTGATTCGTCACCTCGTGCGGTGTTGGGTGCTGATCGAGGCTGGAAAGTCTCAGCCGACTAAATTAACCGACGAACAGATAATCCGAAAAAATCAAAATAAATAAATAA